TGACCTTGACAACTACCCTAATGCATCGGGGCAACATCACATCACATGTTTGAACGCTTGAAACCACGAAAAGACTGCAAACGCGCGGCTAAAGCGAGCCGACATATGCCGAATCGCGATTCCGGCCAAACATGGTCTCGAAAAGTAGGTCGTAGATCAAAGGTCATTTATTGGGCCAGGGTCATCAACTTTTTTGAGTAGATGTAAAATTGATCCACTCGAGGGTACTGAAAGTTTCGTCGCGATCAGACTCATGCATGTTACGCGAGTTATTCGCGAAAAACTGAGGGAAGGCCGTTCGACCTCCTCCCCATACGGGCGACGCGAGGGTTAAATTTAGCAGGTGCATACCACGCCCAGTGCTATGCTCCGTCGACATGAAAGGGCTTGTACCGTTCTGATCATATTTCAGCTATTATAGCTTCTACGCAACAAAATATGCATGATGCAATACAAAATGCCCAACTCAACCCTGTCGTCACCCCCTCACCCCCCCCCCGGCACCCTCACTGCAGAGTGTGCTATCATCCTCTCCCCTTCCTCTGTCCTCTGTGGCCGATCTCGTGACCGCCGTCGGTGCACGTGCACATGAACTCATGTCGACCGTGACAGTGCGGATGTCGACGCGCCGACCCTTCCTGGTCAGGGCGGCAAGCATCCCTGCACGTGCTGTCCTCGCTCGCCACATCCTGACAAAAATGGGTATCAACAGGGTGAAGAAATTCACGGGGAATTACCTTGTTCTTTGAAAATGTTCGTCGAAATCACATATGGAAAAAGAGAGGGTGGAGAGGGAGAGAGAAAGAGAGAAAGAGAGAAAGCGAGGAGAGAAAGGAGAGAAAGAAATAGAGAGAAGAGAGAGAGAAATGGAGAGAGAGTGAGAGAGAGAGAGAGGGGGAGAGAGAGAGAGAGAGAGAGAGAGAGAGAGAGAGAGAGAGAGAGAGAGAGAGAGAGAGAGAGAGAGAGAGAGAGAGAGAGAGAGAGAGAGCATCAGGAGCGGAGCTTGAAGTGCCGAAGGATCCTCAGCGGAAGCGACAGCGAGAGCAGGCAACGGAAACTTTTTGAATGAGCAAAAGAATGTTAGGACGACAAAACACGTGAGGCAACATACATACATTAAACAGTCTGAGATGTCTGTAATGTGGTGCAACATTATTTGTTACCCATGATACGGGCTTGTAGGTAAAGCGATGGATTATGGAAGGAGTCGGAATTGGAGCCGTAGTCAAGGTCACCCAAAAATAGCGACATTCGTCAACCCAGCAACAGAGTAATAGTCGTGAAGCTTTTGCTGGTGAATCGTGGATCTATTGCTATTTGCTGGTAAACAGACACTCACCGTTCCCGATTATTCTACTACTGGTATGAATAAAAAAATAGCCCATGCTAATCCTACACTCTTGATGACTTATTCTAACCCTGTTTCAGTGCGAGTTTAGTTCAAAATTTGGATATCGGAGTATGTAAAAATACTTGAATGAACCTTTAATCCATTCCAAAGGTAAATGAGAAACATTACTTATCTATATGTTACAGACCGTATGAAAACCCAGTCCGTTTGCAAACGGCCTGGCCCAGTCAGGCCGTTTGAAAACGGCCTGAAAAAGCCGGCGGTTTGCAAACCGCCTGAAATATCAGGCCGTATGAAAACGGCCTAGGCAGTTTGAAACGGCCTAGACAGTTTGAAAACGGCCTAGTCAGTTTTCAAACGGTCTGGCGAAGTACAACAGCCTCTGAAGATTGAACTTAATGGATCCAGGTTGGTCGATGATCAGGTTGCATACATGTGAATGCTTGCGCATTCCATGCCGAATGACTCGTCTACATACATAGGTACGTCGAACATTTTCTTACTGTGCTGATGCTCGGCCCGGCCGTTTTTCGACAATAATACTAATTATACTCGTACAAGTTCACGGTCCGCCTGTGTACGGCCATCCAGTTGATGGAGCCTGGTGAAGCCACTACTGGTGAGGTCTGGTAAAACGTATCACTACAAGACTCACCGATTATTTTGCGGCATAAAACGCCGGAGCGCGCAATGGACATCAGAGTTCACATAAGTGGCGCGGGAACCGGGGGGGGGGGGGCTAGCGGGGGCTGAGCCCCTCCAACTTTTCGGCTGGGGGGGGGGGCTCGTAATGTATTTGAGCCCCCCCCCCCCCTCCCCCAGCTGGAGGAGTCGAAATCGGAAATCTACCAGCATAATTTCATAGATTCATACATAGGCGCGGGAACCGGGGGAGGGGGCAGTGGGGGAAGCTTGCTCCCACAGCTCTGGGGCCGTGGGGGCGGTGCCCCACAACTTTTCATGAGGTCAGGAACCGTTGGGGCAGCTTGTCCTCCCCAAATTTGGGGTTGTGGGTCACAAAGGAAGAAAGCATGTAAGTGAAACATCCACCTCTTTCACTGGCTCGGCAACTCATTTGGCAGATTTAAACCTTTATTCCAGGTTGCCAAAACGGTAGTTTCTTCACTCAGCTGAGACGGAATACCTGACTTTTTTGCAAATATTATCGTTTTTTTTTTTGTTGAAAAGGCCAAGGCCTGAAAATAAAAGTATAAGTAACAAAAATAAGTGGCCTAAAACCGGTGAGAAAACTAGATTTGTGGGTACCCTAGGTTGATCTCTATTATGGTTCAGCCCCCTCCCCCCCCCCAGTCTGGAAGAAGTTCCCGCGCCACTGGTTCACGTAAGAGTCGTCACCGCGCCCGGTCGACCGCCTGCGACTGGCCGGTGGCGTACGCCGGCAATGCTTGACCATTGCGGTGGAAGGCGAAACTTTGAAGTCCGGGAGAAGCCCGGGTCGACCGGACGCTATACGGGCCGGGTCTCAGTTCTGCTAATCTCTTCCTGACCAGCAGGGCTGCGGAGTCGGAGTCGGAGTCGGAGTCGGAGTCGGTCGGAGTCGACAGTTGTGACCGGAGTCGGAGTCGGAGTCGGAGTCACCGAAAATCTGTCGACTCCGCAGCCCTGCTAGGTCTGCGGAGTCGGAGTCGGGAGTTGGAGTCGGTCGGAGTCGACAATTCTGCCCGGAGTCGGAGTCGGTGTCGGAGCTGGTTTTTGAAAGCCGGAGTCGGAGTCGGAGTCGGAGTCGCCGAAAATCCATCGACTCCGCAGCCCTGCAGTGACTGCAGGCCCGCACTCGTCATCGGGAAAATCAGGGAGAATTTTCCGGAACTAGCGAGAATCATCGCGGATCACGAACGGTATCGCGATAACGAGACATGCTGAAGATAGGCGCTCAACAATAATTTTCCGACGGAGAATATCCGAGTGACAATATTTTTCCGGATGCCGAATGCACCTCAGGATTTCATGGTGCCATGTAATGTCATGAAACGGTCGTGCTTCAACAAACTCAACATTGTCCAGCTGTAACTTTATGCAGACCAGATTGTTTTCAAAATGCCTAGACCGTTTGCAAACGGCCTGGTGTCTGGGAAGTTGTCATACGGCCTAGACGGTTTGCAAACGGCCTGAAATTTCAGGCGGTTTGCATGCAGCCTGGAATTTCAGCCCGTATTCAAACGGCCTGACTTTTCCGTCCGTTTGCATACTGACTGGGCTGTCCAGGCCGTTTGCAAACGGCCTGAATCGGGCCAGGCCGTTTGCAAACGGACTGAGTTTTCATACGGCCTGTAACATATACATAAACTACGTGGCTTTAGTTCGAATTTGCTTAGATCAATATGGGCTTAATATTGACGGAGCTCATTCAAGGCCCGGGTGGGTTTGGACATGCTCCTACGTCTAGCTATACATATATAGTTACTTACGGGCTATGGCAACTATGATTCTAAATATGGGAACTGGGGTCAATTGTAACACGAGTTTCGAAAAAAAAACGGAATATTTGTGATAGTTCCTACCTTCTTCTATCTACATAACAAATTTCAGATCGATATCTCGTTTTTGGCCAAGTTATAGCGAAAAAAAACTGTTCAAAAATGATGACGTCAAATTTTTAAACTCAATGTTTATCAATTCTAGACCCCGTAGGCCAAAACAAAGACCACCATTGGACTCCCCGTGACAAGCTGCATCGAATCGATACCCATTTTATGCAAAAATATCAACTTTGAAATTTGACCTAATTTGACCTGACCTTGACCTGACCTTCACCAAGATGTGACCTAAACTGACCCCAAAGGCTGCCTGACCCACATAATCGCATGTGTCATGTAAAATGGACCATAAACATGTATTACACGACACTTTCATATTGTGACCCCTCAGTGACCTGACCTCTGTGACCTGACCTGGTATCAGTGACCTCAGATAGCGAAGTATGTGTTTGACGAACAATGTACCATCGATAGTTTTCAATAACTTACCAATAACTCGATTTCACAACACATTTCTTGAAATGCCTGTGAATGGTGAAAATCCGACCTTTGACCTGACCTGTGACGTCATCGGTTTGACCTAGGTAAATGAAATTTGATCACAAGGTAGTTCCTTGGTGGGGCTATCGAACGACGCTTGAATTTTGAAAATCGGCCGGTAAATTTCCGAGATCTTAGAGGGTCGAAACGCCCCCCCCCCCCCCCCCACGGGTGGTATAGGGTCCGCCGGTAGCCCTACGGGGCGCGGGTTAATGTTGCGCCTGCATTGTTAGGTGCAATCTCACAAAGTATCGTAGGTGCTTTCATATTCACGGCATTCGGTAACATGCATAATACTAGCGGCGTCAGCAAATGAATATCTGAATTTCACAAACGATTAGAAACGTCAACACGCGATGAACTGAAATACATGCAAACTGAACTAAAAAGCATGCTGAAACAGAAAATGAAACTGAGAAACAAAACTGAAATACATGCGAAAGAAAACATGTTTCAATATACGAATTTAACCAAATAATGTTATTTGATTTGCTCTGTTTTGGATGGCTGGATTTTTATCTGCATGTGAGCATTGTGCAATGTGCAATGCACACTGCTGCACTACTTCTCCGCCAATGGCAGCAGGACGCGTTATCAGGGAGGCGGGAAGGGGAGGGTAAGGACGCGGGAGACTGGCCCACGGTATATAAGGTGCAGCCGAACGACCGTACAGCATTATTTGTAAACGTTCGGGGAGGGGGGGTTATTAGTTCGGCAGTTCTTTGTTTTGTTTTTGCTCGGCCAGAAGATCGATTGCAAGCCAGCATTCTGACATGGACAGTAAGTAAACTTTCCTGACATTTGGTCTATTGTCTGTTTGTTCTGCTGTCTCTCTAGTCTATAACGAACTTTAATTAAATTCGCGTCTCGCAATTTGGGGCGACATAACTTTTCCCTGCAATATCCCTGTTAGGCACTCTGTTTCATATCTAAAACGCCACATCTAAGCCACGTTTGTATTGAGACTGCATGTATACATAGTGTTTATCCACAATTTAAGATTAAAACAGTTTAAATACTGTCAGACCGGTCTGGTTCTGGATTGCTACCTTATCGATACCATCGATGCTACACCAGATTTCTTGCCCTCTGTTTTCAATAAAAAGGCGCTGAACAAGTTAATCGATGCAATTGGCCGCCAGCAATGCTTTTTCTTCATTTTTTACTTTTGTTTTCGTGCTCTTGAATCATCAAGATCAATCATGGGATTGAAGTAAATAGATGGATTCGACGTGCTACTTATGTAGATTAAAGTCAATCAGACTTTGACGTTTTGCTGGCCTTAACAGCATCTCATCCTTTCTCTTGTAAGTTTCGGAAAATGATCAGATCGAAATCACTTTCAATCAGCGTCCGTCATCTTTTCATGCTATACAATATGCATTCATACCTATGAGTTTACATTGACCAGAAATACATTCTAAAAAAAAGTTCAATATTTCATGGCGCACCGAGCAACGATCAACTGCCATACCGAGCAATCGTTTATGTTTCTTTCTTCTTCTTTTTTTTTGGCAGAAGTCTAGCTGAACTGTGGACGGGGGCGGCCACCGACCATCACGGCTGCCTGAAGTCCGGCACCAGCGGCATGTTCTGCCGCTCGGGAGGCGCCAGCAGAGGCAGCGCAGTGCTGACGTCATCGGAGGACCGAGGACCAGCATCGCGCCGCCATGGCTGACGGCCGACCTCAGCCCACAACACCAGGGCGCAGGGAGGGGGGGAGGAGTGGGGTCAGCGTGTTCGACCGCTTTTGACTTTTGTGAAGAAATTGTAGGTATGTGTTGGCCTTTTGACTTCAAGAAAAAAAATTGCGGCTTTCGTTTGATTTCGTTTGCTTGTCCAATAAAGACTCAAAAATGCATTTTGTTTTATGGATGATTAATAATGTGGCGATGCGACACACAACACAAAAGATACACGTCTTTTAGGAATTGTGATTTCCAACCATTTAATATGATTGTTTAGTTGTTAACACACGTTCAGAACGGACATGATGTCTTCCAATATCCACAGACATTGCATGAGAGGCGGACGTTATAGGTATGTACATACAAGAGAACAGGCGGAGAGTACACAAAAGGTTCATCGGCTCTTAGCTATGACATACCTAAGATGATAGGGTTATGTTTGTCATGCACAATAGCGTTGCTGCACGGGGCTTGTCATCTTTCAGTTTCATGATTTGTACATCAGCATTCACTAGGTTTCGCAGCCAAAGATATGAAAAAACAATGTTATTTAAAATTGTTCGCTGCCTCTGTAAGACGTTAGGCATTGGAAGACTTACCACGTCGCTAGCAGAAGAAACCGCGGAGTAACAGGAGAAATTAAAAGCGTCCTCCCGGTGACCCAGCACGGCTTGGATGTGCGGCGTGCCTAGATGTGCTGCGGAACAGTCTACCTCTCAGGCGGAATCACTGTCGCCGCCGGCAGTAGCTGTCGCTCCCAAAACGTCAGGCTGATCCCGAGATTCTCACACACGGGCAAGGGTATGTGTTATTGTGTTAGCCTCACAGGACAAAGGTCCCCCCACCAGTGCCAGCGGGACCTCATAGGTCACAAATCACACGAAAGCATCATTGAGCTCACAGGTCTCCTTCCCTCCTCATGTAGCAGTGCTGACCTCTCAGGTCACAGCCCACAGGTCTCGTTGCAGCAACCGCTGCTAAAGAGTGAACCTGTGGTGACCTCTCGCTGACCCCAAGATCTCACAGACACAGAGTGGTGCCATTCGATCGATTATCGGATGGGAGGCTCGCAATGACCCGCGCCTGCCAGATGGCCGCAGTTTGACCGGTTGAAATGGCTGGTTTTCCCGTCCGTTAGTGGTCGGTAAAACCGCCAACGGTGACGGCCGAAAACGTCCAGAACTTGCATGGAGAAAATCTGGTCAGCTCACAGAGAATTCCCCAATGCTCAAAATATTTACACAGTGCAAAAGAAATTTGCATTGCTCACAGAACTTCAGCACAACTGATCGTGGATATGGCAAATCAGAGAAAGGCTCTGGCTGTCTTAGCATTGATAGTAATTGCAGGACACCGACTGACTATCTGCAATCGCAACCATTTTTCGTATCCTCACAACCAGTTTCTGTTATTATCCATTACCTATTTAGGTCAATAAAACGAGTCGCTTGTCTTCTCGTAAATAGAATCACAAACCCACAACCGCATCCGTGAGTCGGCGGTCGGCAGTCCGCCTTTCAACCCACATGACCCACGAACATGCGCGCATCTGCCATCCCCAGCCCTCTCAGGCCTGGAGTTTGTTGACAATCTGTCCTTGTTGGCCGTATCACTAATCAGGACCTGCCTCTGCACTGGCTTTGATCGCTGATTGTTAGAGATGAAAATTTAGCAGCCAATACCGAAATGGACATATTGCAAACGGCATTCGATAAGAATCCAGGAGAAAATAAGTAGATGAAATATGTTTGCATTTAATAACATGACCAAGGCCCACATGTTAACAATTGATTAGGTTGCAGTGTATACCTACTAGATTTGGATAAATGTGTCAAAAAGACCCACGCTAATATGCAATTCAAGCTTGAAGGCATTGGTACCACAAATGTAATGGAACGGCGAAGACATGTGTGAAACCAAATCCTCCTAATCCCTTCATATTCTCCCCCGGTTTTCACCTCCACGGACCGGCGCCGTCGGTGTCTGTGTGACTGTGTTCCGGGGCGGGGTTCGGACCGCATGCGCATCTCGTCGAGAGCGACTCGGCCGCGGCGGCAGACACCAGAGCCGGCGGCGGAGTCGGGTGGGGCAGCACGTGACACGGACGGGCGCGGCCCGGGCGGGTCACGTGGGCAGGACGCGAGGAAGAGATGAAGGGGAGAGATATGAGAAGTGTGAGCTAGTCGGGAAGTGAGGAACGATGAACTATGAAGTGCAGGTTAGAATAAGTAAAGTGATATTCCGAGGACTTTGAGAGAGCAGCAGAGTGAAACTAACGATGCTCGCTGAGGAAGATCCCAATTTTTGTAACTGTGCTATCTCGTTGTCTCTCACGTTCAGCTGGTTTTGAGCGCTTTATGGTTTAAATGTTGGCCTGAAGAATTCAGAGGCATCACGCGAACAGCCAGCGACTGAATTATGACATGGATCGGTCTCCTGACCGTCATAGGAACTCTGCTCTGGTGTATGAGACTGTCGTCTGCCACGGAAGCTCCAGGTAAGTTGTAGTTAAACGGACGATAAGGGTAGTTATTTTCAGACATCAGTAAACCACTTGTCAGCATGCTTATCTGGCAGCCCGAAATTCCGACAGACGCGGCTGTTTCCTGCTAATGATTTGAAAGATATGTGCGACCGTCTCGATCTCGGAAGATGTGCTTGTTACATCTCATTCTCGTCAGGTTCACTTGTCTAGAGAACGGGTGTTTGACGTAGGCTGCCATGGAAAAATTAATTGGTCAAGTGACCATATCCGTATCACTGAATGCCTCAGTATCACCAATATATTACCAGACTATAATAGCCTTAGCCCTCGCCGGACCTATTGGTTTTCTACATACGCGCCGACCGAGGGGGGGCGGGGCGGGTACGACCCCCCTCGCCATTTCGCCCCTGGTGGAGCTAGCGCGTCGCGGAAAAAACGAGCGTGTGCGCCGTTACGAGACGCAGAGATTGATACCCAATTTTAAGGTCCCAGGTCAACCGATAACCTCTGAGGTCAGGTCAAGTGCCCCAAGGTACGGTTCCGTTTTTGGTGAATAACTTCACAAAAAAACGGCCGCAGAGCCGCGATTTTGGCAGCATCGTGTTTGCCTTGCTCAGGCGCGTCGATTGCTATACTTAATGTTTAGGTCAGGTCAACTTAGGGTGTTGACCTCAGGTCACGGTCAGGTCAGCGCCCCCAGGTCACGAAATTGGTCGAAGTAGGTCATATTGCATATCATTCGATTCGGCAGGTCTTCCTAAGTCCATTGGTGGCACTGGCTTTCCCGACTCGCTAGCTCAATTTGATCGGAAGATATTGACGAAAAACTAATATGACCCTAATGACGTCATAAATGACGTCACGCTAGGTCAACATTGCAAAATTGACGCATGTAACCTTGCAAGGAGTGCATGAAATCACGATTCTGTGTACTTGAGATAGCTGGAGATCGTTCCAGGCGCCAGGATAGCAGTTTTCATTTTTCCCCATTGACTTATAATGGTGAGGTCACGAAAATGACCTGACCTCATATGACCTTAAGGAAAAATCCGAGATATACAAGACATGAGACACGTAATGGATACTAGATCCTGCAAGTTTCATTTCCCCTATGAAAGCTCCTCTGGCAGTGAGGGCGTTGCGAAGTTGCGACATCTGAAGACCGTGTAGAGGTTCACTTATGACGTCATTGGTCAGTGACCTGACCAGACCCGATAATGCGGTTGGTGTCAAAAGATCCGGCTTGAACCAAAGGTCAGGTATGCCAAATTTCAGCTTTCTATCGCCAGCGTGTTCGGAGCTATCACGAAAAAAAACCTATGGGGGGCGGCATCCCCCCCAGACGGCGAGGGTTAACCTCCTGATGTTTTTGCAAATAATTGAAGAAATAACTGCGTTTTTCGACATCATTCCTAAGCTTCTTACATTAGATCAGTGCGATAAAAACTACATTTTTCACAATAGATCAAAATCCTTGCGACCTAGCTCAATGAGCCTAAGGTGGTCATTAGTGAGAATGCGAAGGAAAGCAACAGTAGTTACAGCATAGTGCAGAACCTAGCAGCAGTGGTTCAGCCGGGAAGGCTGGTGGTCCGCTTTAAACCAATACCGCCTTACCGCACCTTCCACTACACATTTACTTTCGATCGAACGCCATTTGGTCACCATAATACGCTAGAATTGTCGCATTATTGTGGCTTAATTACCTGTTTTACAAATCAAATTCTTTACTTGCAGGAAGCCGTTTTGGTCCTTATTCAACCCACTGAATGCCTGTGATCGTCCATCCTTCCCTGCATATCAGCGTGATGAAAGAGCCACAGATAGGACGGGACACGGGACGGGACACGGGGACACGGGACACGGGGACACGGGACAGACCACCGCTCTCATATGCGCGCGCACACTGACACCAATCACCTGGGACCGACCCTCCACGGAGCCCGCTCGTGTCGGCCAGAGATAAGATTAACGGTGGCGGAGATAGGCGTCCCGCTGTGGGAGCAGGTACCCAGCGGTGGGAGCATAGCGTGGCACGGTGCAGTCCCCCTCTCCCCATAGACAGCCGGCTCCTGGTATAGCCAACGGTGTGTCTCGGGCTTACATAATCCAGTGCTGCACTGAGTCGGAGCGACAGGGACGAAGAGCTGGTCTGTTCAGTCGAGGACATATGGGGCCATGTGATGCTGAGAGAGAAAAGTTCAAAGGCGAGTGTGGCACAGTGCTCCACTAAAGCACAGGGATCTCACGGAATAGAGAATGTGCGCTTAGAAGCGCTGGGAATCCATATTTCAAGACACAATGAAGGGACGCTAAAATACAAAGCTGCAAATTGATGGCAAAGTGGTTTTCGTTAGAATTTCTTTCATAAAGCAGTATTATTCTTAGTTTTGTGGATAGAGCTTCTGCAAATGCAAAAGAAAAGCTATTCACCGTTCAACGCACAGCAGTTCCACAGTATCGTTTCGAGATGTCGATGATGGACTCGGGCGCAGTTTATAGCCACCGGCGTGCTGCGGGCCCCCGGAGACCCAGAGGGCCCCGGGGGCCCCGACCAGCAGATTGAACCAGCCAACCAATCAAACTGGCGGCGAGCCGCTGGTTTCTTGGTAACAACCTACCCAGCAGGGCCGCGAGCTCGCCCGTGACGGTACCAAGAGTCTCCCACGTCCAGTCTGCTGAAATATTTACCGTAAGGCCGCCTGCCCGTCCAACCCTATCACGGTGAATCACGGAGAATGAAATAGGTTCAGAAGTAGTAAACTAAAACTCACGAGCATCATCAGTGGCTCTAGCACGTCTGACACGTCGCGCTTTATAACTCTACCTGTCGGCATGTTCGTAGTAGTTTCCTGTGCCCTATTTCGGAGTAGCTGTTCAGACGGACGGCCGTTCTGCATGCATGAGGCCACGGAGGATGTTTGGCCCCGAGGGGTGTGTCAGGGCCGTCAGAACAGAGCTCCACTCAGTCCCCGGCGTGACATCTGTCCGTTCCAACGAGCTGAGAGAGTGGCGGCAGGCGACGGCGAGCCTCCCAACTCTGGCATGGATCTGAACTCGTCTGGGCGTTACTGACAGTCGGGGCTATAGAAGCTATTGCGCAGTATGCTTGGACTGTTGCACTTCTTTTGTTAATTTTATAATTGGCTGACTTTTCAATACGTGAATAATAACTCCACTTTTCTAACTTTCTGATCAGGCAAGCCGTTTCCACAAAAGCCATCATATCTTGCGTATCCTCAGCACATCTTTCCTTAGTCGTAGCCTCGCTGCCCTGCATTCTTCAATTCACATCCCGCAGTTCCATTTCCCGGTCGTCGATAACACTTCGAATCCGTCCATCTAAACACACAAACCACAATGTAAGCTCCCTCCGGCCACGATCAACATCTCACCGCCCAACGATTGACACGAACTGATCTCTCCCAATCCTCTGCCGGCTGTCGGAACGGCGCCCGCTTCCAACCTCTCCATAAATCACCTCTAAGACAATCGTGGCGCGATATTGGCGCTGCCCGCGGCGATCCCGGCGCAGCGTCAGAATGCGCCGCAGTGGTCAGCTGCCGAGGGAGGGGGTGTGTCATCAATATTGCAACGCAGGTGCGCGGCCGCCCCATCGGCACGGTCTGTCCCTGTCGTAGATAATCGGATCAGCTGTAAATGAGAGGGAGGAGGACCGCGCCGAAAAACCAGATAGAAGATACCAGATATAGTTTCAGTCTTTAGTAGAAACTAGAAAAAGTGATGTAAGTGATTGCAAAATTGTGTATGCCTCGCGCCTTATAATGGTGAAACACTGATACCATGTAGTTGTGAATATTCCCCGTGATTCATGTTGATTTGCGTGTCACAACTTCACTATCTTAGCAGAAGTCAGGGACATTTTGCATTCAATCGCTGACGATAGTGAGTTTGAACACTTAGCGGCACCGACCTCTCCTCTAAAAGCGCAATCACAAAGCTTGTTTTTCTACGGAATGGCTATCTGAGGCAAGCGTTTGATACCAGCCTCTCAAATATGCCGTGAAACCTGGAAGAATGTCCATGGGTCCGAGACTTATTAAAAGGCTACACAGACATTCCTGTTCAGCCATTCATCTCATAGCTGGGAGGCGATAGGGGATTGGCTGCTTCGTCAGCTGTTCCGACAACAGAGCCAGTGTCGTTATTGGTGAGCTCTTGGTCTATTCGCTAGACGGGGTTAAGCCGATTGTGGATGGCTGACATCGCGGAACGAGGAGCAGATTATTTTCCTGCTTGATCGGCTCCATAAGACTTCTCTTAGAACGTTCAGTTGTAGGCATTAGTGATAATAGTTATGTCTACCAAACTTTTGTGTAAAAACGATGGCGGTAATGGTAAAATCGATTTTGCATAAATTTCTGAACGGAGCTGATATGCATCGCATCCTGATTTTTCCTTCATTGATAGCATATCGTTTTGAAATTCATTCAACAAAACGTGTCCCTTTAATTTATTTCAGCGAATCACACGTAATTGCGGCGAAATGCATCCAGCTGTCTCGCCTGTCTGACCGTTCATCCAATTGCCAACATACCATACCACACGGTTCTCCTCTCAGCATTTCAGCTCTGAAGGTCCCGTCCTCCATTTCCTGCACATGCGGTGCACGGTAATGTGACAGCCGCCTGACTTTCAGCGGTCAAATGTCTGATCAGTACCACTACCCCTCTGGCAGCCGTTCTGCAGCGCTAATGGACGATGCGCCCTGGCAGAACGCCAATTCGCCAGAATGGTTCACGATGGTAAACAGTGACGATGTCAACGGTAATTAAATTGGATGGCCATGGAAATTGGGAGTTTCAGATGCAATGGCTGTGCTGGCATTTGATGAATTGGCGTCCCTTGGATAGCAACAAAACACATTTGCCACTAAATTCAATGATAGGCATTAGGCGTTAAATTAGTGGAGAGGCAGTGCGCAAAATATAATGGCTTATAACCAATGTTATGAAATGGTTTTATCATTTTATGTAACTTCAACATGGAGA